CAGAGTGAAAAACCTCAACGAGTAAACAGCTGAGCCTCATACCTCAGGTAGCAGGTATTTCCTCAGTAGATTAACAACAACAGCCCCCGATGGGAGAGCCTCATTGGGCTCGCTGCATAACTCTGTGGAGCCGATGCGAAAATCCAGCTTCATCTTCTCCATTCCATTGAAGATGAAGAGGACATCCTTAGCCTTGTCATAATCTCCACTAAGATAAGGTGTCTTGCGAAGGTGCATGTATTTCCTGCCCACAAGGTCTCGAAGGGATGTTGGTTTGGATAAATGGGAAAGATCCTCACAGGAGAAAGGCAACACAAGTTTGAACTGGGAGAAAACAGATCCAGCACACCAATCCAGCACTATTTTACGGACGACAGTACTTTTCCCTGTGCCGACAGCCCCATACAGCAAAACATTTAGTCCTCGTGCCTTGTTTCCATTATTGTTAGCATCAAAGAGCTGCTCAACTGTGAGAGAGGGACGTGTGGATATGCTTGTCTTTTCCTTGAAGGGACCAAAACCTCTGTCCTCATCTGGATGACGCTCCAGGATAAGTGGCTGCACATGCATAGTTTCGGGAGAAAAGCAGCCACCGAACTGCCTCTCCTCTTGAGGAAGGTGACTGAACCATAATGTCAGCTTCTGTTTGTGGATCTCAATGGGATCTGAGGGTTAATTATAATACAAGCATAAAAGATATTGCTCTTTTATGAGCTGAATGGGCTAATGGAGTGATATACCATCTAAATGTAAATAATTAATGAATAAACTCACCTGTGACGGGTTCATAGGTACAAAAGAATCTAGGATTGAATCCAGAGATGGAATAGCACATAGATGTTCTCAATTCTCTCCATGTATTTCTATAACAGCTTGTTGTCTTGCTGATGAGACAAAACACAAGTAATATCAAAACATATTCAATGAAAACAATAGACATAGATGCTGCATCAGGAAATGCTTGATTTCTAAGAATTATTATACTTACGCTGGAAATGAGAAGTGATGTCGATTTACACCACCACCACAGATGCCATCTGATCGGAGGCTTAAGTTAAAGGCTGAAATAAACAATTGTTATTTCTGTAATTATACAAATCAAAAAAACAAATTTTCAGTATGATTTAAAAAAAAATTAATAATTATTCAGCAAGGACTAAAATAATAAATAAATATTAAGCTGCCCAACTGTTTTCAACATTGCTAATAATAAGAAACATTTCTTAATCAGCAAATTAGCATATTAGAATGATTTCTTAAAGATCATGTGACACTGAAAACTGGAGCAATGATTCCTGAAAATCCAGCTTTGCCATCACAGGAATAAATTACATTTTAAAATATATTACAACAGGAAACAGTTATTTTAAATTGTAATAATATTTTACAATATTACTGTTCGTACTGTATTTTGGATTAACGGATATTTTAAATGTTTTAAAAATATCAAACACCTACTTTTCTTAAGAGCCCTGGTGTGAAGCTTGCAGCAGACGTCTCTTGGTGAACCTTGGCATCTCCATCTTAACACTTCTGTTCCCGATGGCCTCCCAAATCGCCACATTTTGACTTTAAAATAACCCCTAATGGATGATATGCTTTGTCATAGTGACTTAAAATGTTAAACAGGTCTAAAACAAAATTGTGTAGAACAGGTAAACCGTCAACAGTCTACAGTCAACACAGTCATGTAAATGTAGCTGACAAAATCAAGCCAAACCTTGTAAGGTCCCTCCTTCGGCTTTGTGTTTCAATGACACATGATGCCTACACGGTTACGTGATACACATATTTGTTTAATAACACACCCAAAATGTTAATTTTGGTAATGTCCATTATCTAAAGAAACCGCATAAAGCATCACTAAGTGTGACCAATGGGGCATTTAAAATACCTCCTCCAGACAGTGAGATATATATATATATATATATATATATATAAACAATTCTTTACATATGCAAGATTGCTTGCGATTCATCAGTTAGTACTAGTAATGAATGATCAGTAAGGTCAAGTAATTCGTCCTTGTCTGTGTGTTTACACAACAGAAAATGTTTTCCCTCTGACAACTGTGCTGATGACTATGAGCAAGGCACTATGAAGGTGTGACCTGTCACCACACCTGTACCTAAACCAACACTGGAAACTCATTTTCGTCTAAAACAAAATTGTGTAGAACAGGTAAACCGTCAACAGTCTACAGTCAACACAGTCATGTAAATGTAGCTGACAAAATCAAGCCAAACCTTGTAAGGTCCCTCCTTCGGCTTTGTGTTTCAATGACACATGATGCCAACACGGTTACGTGATACACATATTTGTTTAACAACACACCCAAAATGTTAATTTTGGTAATGTCCATTATCTAAAGAAACCGCATAAAGCATCACTAAGTGTGACCAATGGGGCATTTAAAATACCTCCTCCAGACAGTGATATATATATATATATATATAAACAATTCTTTACATATGCAAGATTGCTTGCGATTCATCAGTTAGTACTAGTAATGAATGATCAGTAAGGTCAAGTAATTCGTCCTTGTCTGTGTGTTTACACAACAGAAAATGTTTTCCCTCTGACAACTGTGCTGATGACTATGAGCAAGGCACTATGAAGGTGTGACCTGTCACCACACCTGTACCTAAACCAACACTGGAAACTCATTTTCATTAAATAATTTATAACATAATTCATCCAGCGACCAGTTTAGACCAGTGGCTGTCAAAAATATGAAGTCAGTTGAATGTTGTACATCTTTATTTTTAATGTTTTTAAAGCATTTTAATTAAAATTATATTAATATAACTACATTTAAATAATTTTAAGATTTATTGGGGCCCCCTTTTAAAGTCACAACTTAAAGAAAAGTGATAGCATAAAGTGCTATTAACACAACTGTAGCCCTTTGTATATTACAAAGTATATGCTTTTCCACGTACTGTATACAATCACTACGTCAACCGTTGAGTAGTATGGCTGCCACTCACTAAAAATAGTACAGTAAGGTCAAAACTCATTACAATTTCATTTGTTTTTATTTTGTTTTGTTTTTCATCTGACTTGTATAGCTCTGTCTCGCAATTTCTTTGTCTATAAAAATGTCCATCTCCACATGCAATTTTAAGGTCAAACTGTTTGTCTGTAAATGTAAACAGTATCCGTCAGGGCATGTGCCTGTCATGTATGCTCAATCGTAAATGAAAGATTTAATATAGTTCGATTCTGGAATTCGACGCAAACTCAGATCTTATTTGGTGTCAGAAGGGTCATCATGACGTACGTTTCATTTCAATATTTATAAACCACCGTTAGGTGACAATCAGAGCAGCATAGCAACTACTTTTATTCACATGAGAATCCAGATGTAACAATTAAGATGCTGGTAATTATTGTAGATCTTTACCTAATCTAGAGACTCTATATACGGTGAATTCTTCACTGATTTTCCCAAGTCTCTGCCAGCGTTCTGACACTCGGTTCACGGCCGAGGAAAGCGTCCATTCTACGGCAGGACGATGCGAGCGTACCGCTCTGTGTCTTCCTGCTAAGTCAGTCGTAGTACCGCCCACATACACAAATTTCAACTTTCAACTTTCAACTTTGCTCTTCATTTTTACGACGCTGTTGCGAAAGTCAAATGACTAAATAAAAGCCATAAAATAGATAGGCCTATAGTGAAGTCACATATGCTGATTTAGCATTATGATATATTTGCATAGCGACTTGTCAAGTTATCCCACCAGCAGCTTTAAATCTACAAAAGACCAGCTTTCTTCAGGATACTGCATGGGTTTTAAATCTGACACTGCCACCATTTAATGTATTCAGACAGCAAAATCATACTGCCTTTCACAATTTTATAGGCCCACCCAAGCATTAATTTATTTTACACAATAGTACACAATGTCTGATACAAGCTGTTTTACTTTGGACCACCCTGATCAAATTGACACACCTACAATTTTCATTATCAAGTCCAACAAGTTCTATATATGGGCCTGTATAGGGGTTCCTCGAGGATGATGAAATGCCACTGTAAGATCTTTGTAGCTCCAAGGGATTCAGAGTAATTCAAAATAATTATTAGAAAGACTGTTCCATGAAGCTTTTACAGGTGGGGCTGCTTTAGTTTCTTTTGCACATGCTATTCTTCAGGTTTAGTTCAGTGAGTCAGAGTTAGTCAATGTTAAAAAAACAACAACAACACCATTTCGTCTGAAAGGCACTGCCAAATGGTTTTGTTATTATTTATTGTAAGGGGTCAAATAAATGATAATAAAGCATTTATTATTCCTCTATGTCCTCATATGAACCACTATGAATACTACACTCAGTAAGATTGTTTTGAAATTGCTACAGCACTTCTGATGCATTTCATAATTTTATTTCTAAACACACTAGGTACATTTGGCAGTGTAACATGTTTACACAATACATTGCTGATATACATAGTATGAAAGTTTGTTGGTCTAAAAAATTATAATTTTGTTTTAATACATACATTTTAGCACCAGGTAAATACAAGTGAAAATACTAAATAATCATAAAAGAAAGAAAACTAATCAAATCTACTATACAAAAGATTGATACAATGGTTTAATAGAAACACAGGCACTGTGTGAACCTTCACAGTCTTCTGGTTTGAATTAAAACCCTTTTCGGACTTGTGCAATGATATGTCAACATCCTCATCTCAGGCTAAACATGTTCATGATGTGCTTTCTGAAACTGGAAATGCAAAAAACCTCATTCTAATAAAGTAAAAAAAAAAAAAAAAATCTATGTTAGTGGAGCTTAAAGCCAGAGTTAAACGAGTTTGAGAACTGCCATAATGAATAGAGAAAGATCAGTGAATTATAATTTGCATATTTAAATTTGGTATGACATCTTGAATTTGGATATAGCAGCCTTGCATAACACCAATATTTTTCCAACACCTGGCACTGCATCATTTTAACACTGAAAAACATGAAAATATTTATTCAATTTTATTAAAGCCAGTTCTGTAGACAGTGACATTTAATTCATTTATTCCAAATTAAAAACAAAAACCAGAACACGAAAATTATGAACAAATAAATCTGACCTTCCTGAGCAGATAATGACACCTTTGGAAATTATAGTGTATATGTGTAGCCTGAAAATAGGCCACAAGAGCTGCAGACCATTCAAGGCCATGACTTGAATATTATCGTTCTGACTTTATTTTGTACCGAAGAACCAAGTAGGTGGCGAGTCGCAGGATGAGGAAGAAAATCCCCAATACGATGAAGTCCATGTAAAGCTTGGCATCTTCTACATCTAATAACTGCAGTACTTCTTCAGGTCTTTGGAACTTGCAAACCCTCCCTGGACATTCAAGCTCGGTTCGATTCATTCCATAAATGGACAAAATCACCCCCTCAAACCCATACCTGTCAGAAACACAATCAAACAAACATGAAATGTGATATTTGCCTAGTAAAAGTATATATTAAGATATAAATAGCATACCGGACATAGGACACGTAAGAACTCCATTGTAGGTATCCTGGAATGGTGTCAAAGTTCACAAAAAACCCTGCTGACTTTATTTTGTACCGAAGAACCAAGTAGGTGGCGAGTCGTAGGATGAGGAAGAAAATCCCCAATACGATGAAGTCCATGTAAAGCTTGGCATCTTCTACATCTAATAACTGCAGTACTTCTTCAGGTCTTTGGAACTTGCAAACCCTCCCTGGGCATTCAAGCTCGGTTCGATTCATTCCATAAATGGACAAAATCACCCCCTCAAACCCATACCTGTCAGAAACACAATCAAACAAACATGAAATGTGATATTTGCCTAGTAAAAGTATATATTAAGATATAAATAGCATACCGGACATAGGACACGTAAGAACTCCATTGTAGGTATCCTGGAATGGTGTCAAAGTTCACAAAAAACCCTGAGAATAGTAGCACCGGAATGGCTGTAACCGGACCGACAAAAGTGGCTACCTGTGAAGAAAGATTTTACATTATTGTCGTTAATGTTTTAGTCGCTGTCTGGAGCTCTTCTAATAGCTGTAACATGTACCTGAAGGGATGTGGAGGCAGCACCGACTAGAAGTCCAAGAGACTGGGCTACTAAAGCTGTGCAGATCGACAAAGCCAAAAACAGCAAGTAGCGGCTTGCCTCTGGAGGCTGTTCAGTCATCCAGTATACAATACTGCAGTACATGATAGGACAAAGGACCTGAGGAAGAGTGGACAAAGAGTGGATATCAAATATAGGAATTATAGAAGTCCTTGGTTTTCTTTGTCTTAGATCCATTATATTAAACCTTCAACATTGTCCAAATATGCTCAGCTCATATCATGCATTAAATGGAGTCAGTAAGGCTTAGGCAGGCACCCACCTGGAATGGAATGTCAGCCATTGTCTTAGCCAGATAGTAAGCCTTCAAGCTGTACCAGTAGTTTAGATGTTCCCTCATAAACACAGCCATCTCTAGGGGAACTGAAATAGTACAGAGAATCTATGACTCTAAAAACCACATTCACTTCCTCTGAATGAAAGTAGGACATGACTTTAGACCCAAAATTGTGTTATATGTGTTGACAGTAAAACTGTGATATGACTGCTGCATTCATGCCTCTTCACTAACTTACAGGTAAGAACTGTAGGCATCAGTGCTCCAAACATGAGAAAGAGCATTGAGAAGAAGAGGAAACCAGTGTTGTTGAAGACTTTGCTGGCGTCATTGCCAATATTGAGGTACAGCAGGCCTATCAGCACTCCAATGGAGATGTGTGACATTAGCCGCAGATGTGTCAAAACCTAGAGCAAAAGACAAGAACCATTTCAAACGCCATATTAAACTAATCTGCAGAAGTAAAATGCAGTAGCTATGAATTCATTTAAAATTTAATTAGGATCTAAAATGCCAAGGATGCCCCCCAATACGATGATCCTCTTCCTAAAATATAAATGCAACAATTTATTTTCATGTTTTAAGACCTGTTTATACTGGGTGAGAAAAACACCATGATGCAATGAAAACACCATGTGGCAAAAATTATATTACAATTATATAATTATATAAAATGATCAACAATTACATTAAGACTTGCAAAAAATAAATATATATATTCTGCTATATATATATATATATATAAAGCAGAATAATTTATATAATTTTTCAGCAAAAAAAAATGTTTTTGTCATTTTCAGTGTTGGTATAGTTACTGTGATTTGCCTTCATAAAGCAGTATTGTGTCATTTTGGACACAAAACTTAATTAGGAAAGTTTAGGGCTGAGATACCAGATATAAACTAAATGAGACAACAGTGTACCTGGTCTCTGCATATTGTAATAAATGTTCTCTTGAAGAGAATGCAGAACTGAGTCAGAGAGCTTGTTGCGAAAGTATGGCTCTCAACATGCCCTGAATCCTGTAAAAGCAAGTGTAGGAAAGCAAAATGAGTCATTAGAAAAATTAAATAAATATAAAAGACTATGTTAAAGCATGAACCATCTGCCCCAGACAGCCATCACTATTTAAAGCAGGTGTCAGTGACACTACATGTACTCTTGTTCCAAGTACAGGCTTGTAATTATCTTTTATATAATCATGTCTTTGGCAGTCAGCTGTCATCAAAAGACTAAGACAGTTACATCAGTATATTTTGAGCTGAAGGAGGCTTTTGAACACAGTGGATCAGTTCGTCTAGCAAACATCCTGACCGCAATTTGTGCAAGTAAGCATTACAGATGTTATCCACAGGCAGATTCTAAAAACTTGCATCACTTACTTTGACACAATTTGCATTGCATGGTGTTACAGTGGTTTTGTCGATACAGTTGCACTTTTGCTCCAATGCACACTTGCCACCCTGAACAGCCTCAAACAACACTGGGTTCAAGTCCCCGTACTCTCCTGACGCTACTTCAATGACTAAACACAAAAAAGAGGGGAAATGTATGACGTATGATATACTGGTGCCAAATTGATCATTGGTTATTGATTCTTTGTAATGTGTATAGACAGTTTTTTTCAAAAATCAAAATCACATTAATTACAATTTAAAGGGGTCATAGGATGCCCATTAACCTAGAGCAAAAAACAAGAACCATTTCAAACGCCATATTAAACTAATCTGCAGAAGTAAAATGCAGTAGCTATGAATTCATTTAAAATTTAATTAGGATCTAAAATGCCAAGGATGCCCCCCAATACGATGATCCTCTTCCTAAAATATAAATGCAACAATTTATTTTCATGTTTTAAGACCTGTTTATACTGGGTGAGAAAAACACCATGATGCAATGAAAACACCATGTGGCAAAAATTATATTACAATTATATAATTATATAAAATGATCAACAATTACATTAAGACTTGCAAAAAATAAATATATATATTCTGCTATATATATATATATATATAAAGCAGAATAATTTATATAATTTTTCAGCAAAAAAAAATGTTTTTGTCATTTTCAGTGTTGGTATAGTTACTGTGATTTGCCTTCATAAAGCAGTATTGTGTCATTTTGGACACAAAACTTAATTAGGAAAGTTTAGGGCTGAGATACCAGATATAAACTAAATGAGACAACAGTGTACCTGGTCTCTGCATATTGTAATAAATGTTCTCTTGAAGAGAATGCAGAACTGAGTCAGAGAGCTTGTTGCGAAAGTATGGCTCTCAACATGCCCTGAATCCTGTAAAAGCAAGTGTAGGAAAGCAAAATGAGTCATTAGAAAAATTAAATAAATATAAAAGACTATGTTAAAGCATGAACCATCTGCCCCAGACAGCCGTTACTATTTAAAGCAGGTGTCAGAGACACTGCATGTACTCTTGTGCCAAGTACAGGCTTGTAAGTATATTTTATATAATCATGTCTTTGGCAGTCAACTCTCATCAAAACATTAATTAGGAAGACAGCTATATCATATCAGTATATTTTGAGCTGAAAGAGACACAGTGAACACAGTGGATCAGTTCGTCTAGCAAACATCCTGACCGCAATTTGTGCAAGTAAGCATTACAGATGTTATCCACAGGCAGATTCTAAAAACTTGCATCACTTACTTTGACACAATTTGCATTGCATGGTGTTACAGTGGTTTTGTCGATACAGTTGCACTTTTGCTCCAATGCACACTTGCCACCCTGAACAGCCTCAAACAACACTGGGTTCAAGTCCCCGTACTCTCCTGATGCTACTTCAATGACTAAACACAAAAAAGAGGGGAAATGTATGACGTATGATATACTGGTGCCAAATTGATCATTGGTTATTGATTCTTTGTAATGTGTATAGACAGTTTTTTTCAAAAATCAAAATCACATTAATTACAATTTAAAGGGGTCATAGGATGCCCATTTTCCACAAGTTGATATGATTCTTTAGGGTCTTAATAAAAAGTCTGTAAGATAGTTTGGTTAAAATTTCTCAATGGTAGTGTAAAAACACCTTTTTTTACCCTGTCAAAAACAGCTCTTTTCTGACCAAGCCGTTTTTGTAGCATTTCCCTTTAAATGTTAATGAGCTCTGCTGCCCCCGCCCCTCTCTTCCGAGCTGCTCTCAGAGAGACTGTTTACTTTAGCCGCATTCATAGTGAAACTTGCTAATTAGCACATTATTAGGAAAGGCGATTTGCAACGATTCATTACAAAACATTATACTCACTTCTACTGTAGATGAGGCTGGATCACGAATGATTCGCGCGAACATAGACGCATTTATGTAGATCGGGGGAGCATTCCCTTCAGAAACAATGTAATCCACTGTTCAGCGGCTCAGATGTTGGGAGTAAACGACGACTGCTATGTTCATTATTACATCCAACAACAGAACACCTCAATCGATTAGGCTTCATTCTTGTCTACATCTGCTCCAGCGGTGAAACAATGGTGGACTGATGACAGCTCACTCAGGGTGGGTCTAAGGTAAGACGCCAGTCCAGTCTGTGCTGAAACGCTACTGTCAATCAAACTATCGTGGGAGGGGCCTGTCTGTGTGACATCACACAGACAGGCATCTATGATCGGCTCGATTTGAGAAAGGGGTAAAGATTTAATGAGATTTTTATCATTATAGGGTGGTTGTGTACACACACTGCCAACACACATTTCAGTTCAAACAACTTGTAAAAGTGCATGTAGCATCCTATGACCCCTTTAAAATATGTTCTATATTATCCTTAAAGGGGTCATATGATGCGATTTCAAGTTTTCCTTTCTCTTTGGAGTGTTACAAGCTGATTGTGCATAGATAAGATCCCTGAAGTTGCAAAGACTAAAGTCTCAAAACCAAAGAGATATTATTTATCAAAGTTAAGACTCTGCCACGCCCCCCTAAAACGGCTCGTTCTAACACGCCCCCACATATCTACCTCACTATGTGGAAATATTTGCATAATGCCGCCTAAATGTGTACGCAAAGAAAGAAGGCGTGGTTTCAGAAAGCAAAAGCACTTTATTTGGCCTTCCGAAAGTAGATGCATTTAGAAATCTTTAAGATCCCTTACAACAGAACAGCAATGCATTTTATGGACGACCGTTTTGTGAACCTAGGAGAGGAGGTAATTCTGACTTTGCTATGACAATCTGGCGCTTCTGAATCAGCTACTGTAAGTATGTTTTGTTATTAGTTTAAGTATTTGCTATTGACTGTTCAAATGCAGAGTTTTGCGCATCGTGTGTGTGTGTGTGCGCGAGCGAGCGAGAGAGAGAGCGCGAGAGAGATTGAGAGAGCGAGAGAGAGAGCGAGTGAGAGAGAGAGAGAGTGCAAGAGAGCGAGAAAGAGAGCAAGCGAGTGAGAGAGAGAGAGGGTCACATCACAGTGGAGTCAGCTTTTCTTAACCGTGGCTTGTGTAATGCAAACACATACCAGCTTCATCACTGTGTCTGTCACGCGACTCTGTTCCCCTTTCGGGCTTGAACTGATGGTAAAACTAATGACATTATTTACTGTCTTTACATTTATTTTGAAAGATGAAGCTCGCGATTATGGTAAGGGGCGTTACATTTCCAACGAGTGCTTGTGGTGTTCGGCCAATCACAATGCACTGGGTCAGCTGGCCAATCAGAGCAGGCTGCGCTTGTCGGAAGGAGGGACTTTGTAGAAAACGAAGCGTTTGAGAGAGGCGGGGCATATAGGACCTACAATAATGTATTATGTTTTATAATAATGTTTTTTGAACATTAAAGCATGTCAACATATTTGGTAACACCAAATACACCAAATAATGATCTTTAAAAAAGCATCATATGACCCCTTTAATATCAACCAGCGAGACATTAATTTTATGTATTTTTTTAAGAAACCGTAATACATTTCTTTTTCAGGATTCTTTGCTAAATAGAAAATGTTTAAAAGAACAGCATTTATTTGAAACGGAAATCTTTTGCATTAAAATCAAACTTACTGAAATCTGCAGGATTGTGGTATGTGGGACAGTGAAGACCCAGTCCTCTCAAATAAGGGATGAGGTATGGGACACTTCCTTTGTATATGCACTGGCCTTGGCTTAAAATATACAGCTGTGAAGAAGACCCAGAAGGAATGAAATGATGAGTGGCATGATCTGAAGATTTCCAAAAAAGATTTGCACATGCACATACCTTATCAAACATCTCGAACAGTTTGGCACTGGGCTGGTGAATAGTGCAAATGATAGTTCGCCCTCCTTGTGCCAGAGACTTCATCAATGACACTACCTGGAAACAGGATGCGCTATCCAAACCACTGAAAAAAATAGACAGTATCTGTTAATGCTACAAGCATCTAAATAATGCTGATTTATTTGTGTCACAGTACGATGACATCATTACCTGGTGGGCTCATCAAAAAACATGACTGGGGGGTTGTTTACTAGCTCAAGGGCAATAGCCAACCGCTTACACTGGCCCCCAGAGAGACACACAGTTCGAGTGTGGACACACTCATACAGTCCCAGGGCTGTCAGAATTTCTTTTATCTGCATGTCAACATAAACACACAGAAAAGAGGCGAAATTGTTCACCAGAGGGAAACATTTGGGGCAAGTCTGAATGAGGTGATGAGCTTTACCTACCAGCTCTTTTTTCACCTCTGTTTCTTCATTGAGCTTCAGGTTGGCTGATACCTAGAAAACAGTGCAGAAATCATTGAGCTGAGTTCAGTGTGTTCTTTGTTAGAAATGACTTTTTTTCTGCAGGTAACTAAAAGTGATTGTTATATTGGGCATTAGCACCAAACCTGCTGTAGGGGGCGTCCTTTACTACATCATTCACCCTACAGACTCACCATCATTGCTTCTTGAACAGTCAAGTGGGGCAGCAATTTGTCCTCTTGCATAATGTAACAGGACATTTTACGAAAGGTTCGGAGGTCTCTGAGCTTTCCATTTACCAGGATCTGTCCAGTCATTCCTGTTTCCCTGTAACACACAACACAGCCAGCAGTGTTGGGAAGATTACCATATTTAAAACGTAATAAGTAGTGTAACTATTTCAATTACTTTTATAAAGTAACGTAACTGATTACATTTGATTACTTTTCTAAATTTCTAATGTTTTCAGCTGTTGATCATTTTGAAACAGGCAGGGTTAATCTTACAGTAGGACTCAACATTGATTACTGTCAGTTTTTCAAAATCCTTCATCACTTGAATTAAGATTATAATCATTTAATTTTAAAGCATAGCCTCCACAAAATCAGACTTTAGTGCATCTTCTTACTTTGAGATCATTCTGAGGTTAAATACAGGTTTAAAATCATAACAATAAATAGTTTAATATCTATGATACTGGCTTTTGAAATCAAATCTTTGCTATGACAGGAAACACTGGCATATAACAATGCTTTGCAAAAAAATAAAGCCTATACATAAACCCAAATAGGAAATAAAACAGTTGAATTGAATAAGCATGTGTCCTAATCTGTGTCCTAAACTCCTGAAACGTTAGTGTTTCATATTTTAGAGCAGTCAATGCAATTTATGAAAGCAATCAGTTAAATCTGTATGTGGGTGTGTGTGAAAAAAATTCAAATGTAACCCCCTTTGTAATTGTTAACATTTTCATAGGTAACTGTAATTGAATTATACTTTTTTTTCTCTGTAACTGTAACTGATTACAGGTGCATTTCTTTTGTAATTAAATTACATAACGCTGTTACATGTAACTAGTTACTCCCCAACACTGACAACCAGCAATAGATAGGTATGGAAGCTTTCAAGATTTAATTTATTTTTTAAAGGGGTCATATGATGCGATTTCAATTTTTCCTTTCTCTTTGGAGTGTTACAAGCTCTTGGTGCATAAAGAAGATCTGTAAAGTTGCAAAGACTAAAGTCTGAAATCCAAAGATATATTCTTTATAAAAGTTAAGACTTGTCCATGCCCTCCTAAAACGCCTCATTTAAACACGCCCCCACATATCTACGTCACTGTGTGGGAAGATTTGCATAACGCCGCCCAAATGTTCACGCAAAGAAAGTAACTTTTATTATCGCTGTAGTATTGTTGCCGCAGCCGCCATGTCGTGAAGGCGCTGTGTTTCATTGTGAAAGCGAAATTACTTTGTTTGGCCTTCCAAAAGAGAACATAATGTTTCTATAAAGTGGGGCAGTTCCAACTTTGCAAAGACAGTTTGGCGCTTCTGACTCATAGCCTTTAAGTAAATTTTTTTATATTTAAAGAATTTGCCACTGATGATTCAAACGCGAGTTTGAGCAGTGTAGAGTGGCGCTTATTGTTTGTCATTTCTCCGATCACAAATGCAGATATGGTTTTATGTTTACGCTGCGCAATACGCAACGCAAAGCGTAAAAACACAGTATAAGTCATTACAATCAGTAATTATGTCCCCACTGGATGCAACAAATCCCTCGTTTGTAATGGGTTTTATTGGTTTTGTCTCATCGCGCCGGACACATGAAAACCATAGACTGTGTAATTGAAACACAGTATGGTAAGGGGCATAACATTTCTGTCACACGCTTGAGGTATTCGGTCAATCACAATGCACTGGATAGCTGGCCAATCAGAGCGCACCTCGCTTTTCAGACCGATGAGCTTTGTAAAAATCGATGCGTTTCAGAAAGGTGGGGCATAGAGGAGAAACAATAATGTACATTATGTGACCTTAAACCGCATAAAAACATTGCATTACACCAAATACACAAAATAATGTTCTTTTTAGCAACATCATATGACCCCTTTCATTTAATTTAAATAAAATTTATTTATGAGCAATTTTTTAATTCATAATCAAGTTTACCAATGATACAAACAACTGGAATGAAAAATATAGCATGCTTTCTTACTATTTTTGTTCAGATCACTTTTGCACCTACTGTATCCTCACCTGTATCCCGCCAGGATGTTCATCAAAGTGGATTTTCCAGCCCCAGAGGGGCCCATAATGCCAATGAGTTCCCGACTGCAAAACTTCCCCGATAGACACTTGAGTAGGGCCTTATAACCTGGAAGAAAAAAATATATGCTTGGCGTCCTACGGTTCTCCTTTGGAACAAAAGGTCCACTTGCAGTTAATCCCTTCAAATAAGAAGTATGGTTTAATCCGTGAACCTCATGACTGTACTACATATTTCTCCAAAGCTAAGAAATGTGAGAAAGCGAGTGATAAAGGTGATGAAAGAATTAGGCTCCAAAACCTTTAAGTACAGTGGCTAATTAAGCCATTCTGGACAAGTCTGCTCATTGACCTTTCTACGAGTCCACCATGATGGATTTCGCCCACCACATAAGACAGAAAGATCTCATTAAAAAAGGTTATGACATTTTTAGGAGTCACTGATATAGTATTTCTAAAAAAAATTTTTTTTTTTAAAAGTCTGACTTACAGTATTTCAAAGCAAGGTGGCCTAATTATCAGCCTATTAGTCCAAAAGCTCTGTTCTCACAGTCAAATCGCAGGAAAGCCCTCTCCTTTACCCTTTGACTTTATTCCCATACATGTCCACTGAATGTTTAGAAGTCATTTAATGATTTAATGACCGCCATTTTATCATCATTGGTGGCGCTTTTCCTTTAGGCCACAATGGAAACATTGGGAGTGCTAATTACATTTATCATTTCATTTCCATTTCCATTTATCATATTTACAAATATATTCCATTCTGATCATCATAGTGCATAAGATTAATCAGCATAAAAAGGCACAAGCATTAGGATGATATCAGTAGCCAATTTCGAATTGAAAATGTTGTTCTCACCAGTGATGTTAGATGGGATCTCATCTAATTTAAACTACTTGTAGTGATGGCACTGCAAAAATAAAAGTCCTGTTGGCATTTGAAGGCTGTAAAAGAGTAGAATCTTCCACAGTGGTATGTTTAGACCAATAAATCACAAGAGTAAAGAACCATCTGCTATCTTCAGGCCAGACAGTGCATGACTAGACAGTGCATGAGTCAGCTTCATCAGATAAAAACAGAAGTGATCCGTATGAGATACCAGCATTCATGACGTTACCTGCAAATCAATAGATCCAAAGGTCTGATAGGAAAGCAAAAAGGCCTCCATTAGTCTTGGTACTCGTTCTAATGTGATTTTAATGTCCTCTGAATGCTAAGCTGCTAAATTAAAATTGCTTACCGTATTCCACTTTGTACATGAACAAAAGTTGCTACTCTGAGCATGCATCTAGCCAAGATCTATTTTAATATCCTATTTGACTTGTACAGCTAAGATAAATAGTCTATTATTAAACACAGTATCCATCATTTAGGCTCCATTTTATTTCTAAGATTGGATTTCTCTGCTACTCTGGTCTGGTCTAAAGTTGGGATGCATTAATTTGTGCACAATTATTCATGGAGGACCTCTGAGTTGTCCATTTTTCTCAATTTTTATCTTTTCCCTTCATTCTGTCTTGTTTCCTGCTCCACTTTATCTCTCCCTTGAGTTTTGACAGCTGCATTATTGATAAACCATTTGTCTCTTTTCTTTAAAGTTTTTGAAAAAAAAAAGTTTTTTGCATACAATTATATTTTTATGAAAATGGGTTTAAATTCCCTCATAACTAACAATAATCTGTTTTTATCTATATTGTATGATTTATCATTTTTTAAATAAAATAAATATTTGTTATATTTTAATTCATTTATGCCTTTTATAAAAAAAATAACATTTTATAAATTATATTATATGCTTGCTTTAGTCACTATCTAATAAAACAGACTGTATGCCTTCTTCCTTTATTTATTTCTTATGATGTCTTAAGATTATGATAATGTCTTATAAAGACCCCATTCTTAAGGTCTGTTTCAAATGAATGAGGTCAAAACTACAAGTCATGCACTATTTAGGACCGATGAGTTAAATGAGTTTGACATTATTAATCAAAATGTGTAAAATATGATCTCCTGACCTTGTTTCTTCCACCACGGCCCTTCTCTGATGGTGTAGGACAGGTCTATGAACTCCAGGTCCACAGCAGTGCGTTTGGGCAGGTGAGAGAAGCGCTGTGCCTCTGTGATGTGGTTCTCTACCTTTTTCAGATGGGTTAGCAGTGGAGCTTCCTGTGGCTGTGTTCCTCCATTACACAGGCTGTCCTCCATAGTAATACTAACTGACCCAAGATCCGATGCCTTCACTGCCATTCCAAAGGTCTTAAAAGAGAGCAAAAATCATTAAGTGCTGTGACCATATCGGTCAAAAGTTTTTTTTTAATGGTATTAAAATATGTCTCTTATTTTCCCCGAGGCTGCATTTATTTGATCAGAAATACTGTAAAAACAGTAATATTATGAAATATTATTACAAAAAAAAACTGTTTGCAAAGTTGAATTTTCAACAGCCATTACTGCAGTGTTCTCTATAAAAATGTATCAAAAGAAAAGTACAGAACACCCTGATCCATGTGATAAACTGCATAGTTACATTTGTACATCTAATATCACTGTCTTCTATTAAAGAAATGCTCTGAGTCATCATATTGTACATCACTATTCAAGATGAGAAATCTCCAGTGGGAGCGTCTTCCTATACTTTCCCCTTGAAATGCAAACCTCTTTACACTGTCTGCTAATTCAGGAGAGGCCCTTACTCTGTCAAATTGATCTAGGTTAGAATTTGGAGCTCTTCTAAAAGGTTTTTTTTAATGGTATTAAAATATGTCTCTTATTTTCCCCGAGGCTGCATTTATTTGATCAGAAATACTGTAAAAACAGTAATATTATGAAATATTATTACAAAAAAAAACAGTTTGCAAAGTTGAATTTTCAACAGCCATTACTGCAGTGTTCTCTATAAAAATGTATCAAAAGAAAAGTACAGAACACCCTGATCCATGTGATAAACTGCATAGTTACATTTGTACATCTAATATCACTGTCTTCTATTAAAGAAATGCTCTGAGTCATCATATTGTACATCACTATTCAAGATGAGAAATCTCCAGTGGGAGCGTCTTCCTATACTTTCCCCTTGAAATGCAAACCTCTTTACACTGTCTGCTAATTCAGGAGAGGCCCCTACTCTGTCAAATTGATCTAGGTTAGAATTTGGAGCTCTTCTAAAAGGCTGGGATTTGGTTTCCTCCAAGAGACCGCTTTGTGCTGACACATTGAATTGACTAGCTAGATGTTAGTCCCTGGAGTTTGGAGCTAAAAGGAAGAGCGAAATCAGAGAATGTGAGTAGCCAGGTCAGAGACAGACATCACTGGCTCAGTCCCACAGAGAACACTAGCTAGGAGGGGATCGCTCCAGTGTTCACATGAGAATTAGTAGATTGTGCCATGTGGAGACAGCCTGTACAATGGAAATCTTGTTGGAATGTATTATAACCAGTGAAACATAATAAGAATTCTTCATAGACATATGGGTTGAACAAATTATCACCACTCCTCTGATTTGTGCCCGTTTGGTGAGACACTGTGCAAGTGTTACATAACACACATCCATAAACATGTGAAGAACAGTTTGTTTTAGAAAATGAGGATTGTTGAAATAGTATTTAGTGTGTATTCATTAACCCTTTAAATGGTAAATATATTTGAGAAAAGTAAGTGAGAAGGCTTAATTTCTGGGGGGGGGGGGGGGGGGGACTATTATAAAAGATATATGAAATTGTATTAAAGAAAAGAAACATGAAATTGTATTATATGAGCCCTAAAGTATTAGAAAACAGCAAAATTATTTTGTGCCCACCCTTTTAAGGGTTAATAACCTTTAACAGGCCAATATAAAGAATCAAGAGATTTGGCTTTGTGGTCTTTATGCTGTGTTTGTAGGCTAATCCCCAAGAATTAGTAGTTTTATCTCTCTTAATACCATGCGCATATATTTACAGACCACATACATATTTAAAAATATAAATGTATGATATGATATTACACTATTACTTGTATTAAATAATTATTAAATAATAAAGAAAACTTAGTTAAGGTTACTAACAAACTTCTTATGACGCTAGTATAAAAATATGGCATAGCATAATATAGCATTGTATAGTAATATGATTAAAATATAAGATAAAAGAATAATACTTTAAAAATATAAAATATATTTTTAGACGTTATGCTGTTGTTATAAAGTCAGTCACAGATGATAAAACAAGTATGGTTAAATTATACTAATGCTGACAATGAACTGCAAATCCTGGAAATTCTTGAAATCACTTACCCAGGCTCACACTTGAGAGGAAATATATTCGTTAAAGTGTTGAAATGTAGGTCACTTTTCTCTTCACAACAGGTAACAGAAACAGGTCGTGCGCCACTGGTAATCCCGTACAGAACTGAATGAAAAACTGAGTCCTGAAGGAGAGTTTCGTGGCGAGGTGTCACGCAAAACCTGGGATGGATGGAAGTGAAGCCAGATCCTCGATGATGCCCCAAAGAAGACATGCACGCTCAGCGAGCGGTCCCATGAAAACCAAAACCAAAACTGATTTTATTCATCTACTTTTTATATTTATTGCATGATAGTGTTATTTTTTATTTACAATTTATTAAATGTTTCAAATTATGTTTTACGTATTTAAAAAAAAAAATCAATACAAAAATGTGAGTGCCGCACAAACACGTGTTTTTGAAATGCATGTTTGTTTATTAAAGCAGTTATTAGAGATTATAGACTTCTGTGGACAGTGTAGTATGTAATTTCCTGTGAAAATGAGTGGATGTGCCAGTGTCTCTGTTATACTTCTGTGAACAGTGGAGTCATTATTTTGGCATTATTATTATGCATCATACTGCAAGTCTGTTTTAAGTAGTAACTGCATATTGACTTTCATTAAACTTCTGTAAATACAAAGAAATATTTTCTGTGAAAAACTAACCAATATATTAATAACACAAAATATAAAGGCCATTGGATGACATAACACTTGTTGACACTGAAATTTATAAAAAATACTTCTGGAAGGGGGGTGGTTGGTCTTCAGCTACAGATAAGGACTGTTATATACCTATCGTGCATCATTCAGCTGTCTGGCTACAGTCAGTATCTCTTTGGCCCCTTTGCTGAGCAGCAGATTTCCGAGGTCCACTCCTAACTTCACTGCAGCGTCCTGGGCTGCTTCTGACACCTTTAAAGCAGTGATGCCCACACGCTGGACCTTCTCGTCAACTTTCTCCTGCTCCTCAACCTGGTGATAATAAGGTTACAGATGCTCAAATCAGTGTCAAATTCAAAGAAGGATTCAGAATATTGAAACTTTTTTTATATGGTTATGGATTAACAACCTGATTGTCAGAGCTGATGCTTGTTTGCATGGTCTCCTTCAGACTGTCTGAACCATCGAGACTGTACACCGCTCCAGTCAGGTAGAGCTGTAAAACGATCACACAGTTATTCAGATCGGTCTTTCAGCTTTTCTAGTTGGGTAGATAGTAAAACAGCATGAAGCTCTTCACTACCTGTGAATTCTTAACTTCAGTGTAAACAGCAACTGGAACACTGCATCCCCCTTCCTATTAAACAAATATTTTAAAACAAATGTATTCTTTGCATTCTTGTTGGTTTTAAAACATGTAAAACGGTTCTAAAAGGTTCTATTTAATGACTTAATGTAATTTGTATTGTCATTAATTGTAAATTGTAATTTACTGTCACTGTACCCTAAAATGTATTTAAAAAGTTTTAAAATTATTATTAAATATTTACACAAAGGTTTGGGTTTAGTAAGATTAAAAAAAAAAAAATTTTTAAATAAAATTTCATGTAATTTAAGTCCTGAAAAAAATCATCACAGATTAAATAAGCAGCGCAACTGTTTTCAGCATCATGATTTACCATTCAAATGTTTCTTGTGGGGCTGCAAAATGATCAATCGCGATTAATCGCATTCAAAATAAAAGTTTATGTTTACATACTATATGTGTCTGTACTGTGTATATTTATTAGGTATATATATATATATATATATATACCATATGTATATATTTTAAGAAATATTTGTATGGATATATATTTGAAGAGTTCATTTGCAAAAACCCATAAACGCCAATTTAAAAAAAAAGAGCTGATTGCTGCATTATTCTCCACATATAGCGCGATCTGAACCCTAAACACGTTTTGTCAAAAAAAAAAAAAGCCGGTTTTGTCCACTTTCAAGGCATCGCGAGTTCACGTTTTACTGCAGAAGGAGACAAAGCGCCCTTGTTGTTTTAGAACAGAAGCCGATAAGTCCATTTTAGCGAATCAGCGCGCTGTATTCAGGTCAGGTGACAAGGCTACTTTCACTTTGAAAACACGTGCTAGCCGAGAGGAGTTTCGTCAAAGCTGACTAAAAGTGATCGACGATGGATAATTTCGAGGAACTTGGTGAACCTGTGATATCTTCTTCAGGGCGAAAAAGGAAAATTTTCAGGAACCTTGCAAAAGCAGCGCGTTACAATGGTGAGGGAAAAGCTCTGTGTATTGCGTGAATCACATCCATACAGTTTATGATTACAACAACAACAACGTTTGTCAGGCATCTACATTATCATCTGAGGAGATTACAAAGATTAAACGAGTGTTTTTTAAACTCTAAAACATGAAATGTAGAGTTATCTGCTTTTGCCAAAAAACGACTGTTGGAGTTATCTGCTTTTGCTATAAAACAAACTTTTAAAATGTAAAAAAAAAAAAAAAAACATACTTTCAATGACCTTTAATTTAGTAAATTACCTGTATTTTTTCAAGTTATTATAAATCAAAACAATCCAACTGCAGTTTGATTGATATTACTTGGAATGCCAATAAAAAAAACGTGATTTCTGAAAATAGAGTTATCGGTTTTTGCAAATGAACCCTTCATTTATACTTCTAAATAATTTATATAATATATTTTATATATAAATCTAACATAATTTACTTTAATATATACACATGATATACATAACAAATATACACCGTACACACACATATAGTATGTAAACTTAAACTTTTACTTTTAGTCATTTAGCAGACGCTTTTATCCAAAGCGACTTACAAATAAGAAAAAGTCATTAAAACTAAAAGCTAAAACTCTATAAATACTATATATACACACACACATTTAAGAAAATAAAAGAAATTAAATAAAAATGACGAATGCATACAACATTTCAAAACTAAACATTTAAATGAAAAAAAGAAGCTAAAAACAATTAAAAATATTAAAAGAACAAAAGGTATGAGTATAATAATGATTCTAACATAGCATTAAGCCAAACACCAAAAAAACAACTACATATGTGTATGTACAGCCACACACATATACATGTACATATATATAAATACATTCAATATATATATATATTATTTCATTTCCATTTTGTATGTTGAAGTACTGAAATAACTCAAATTAAATAAAACTAAAACTTTTAAAAACTTTTATTCTGAATGCAATTAATCATTTTGCAGCCCTAGTTTCTTGAGCACCATATCAGCATTTTAGAACAATTTCTGAAAGATCATGTGACACTGAAGACTGGAATAATGATGCTGAAAATCGAGCTTTGCCATCACAGGAATAAATTACATTTTAAAATATAATGAAATAAAAAAACATTAATTTTAAAATGTAATATTTCACAATATTACTGTTTAACTGTATTTTTTTATCAAACAAATGCAGCCTTGGTTAGCATAAGAGAACTTCTTTCAAAAATGTTACAAATCTTACCGACCCCAAACTGTTGAAAGACAGTGTATTATTTTATTAATTATGAATTAATTCAAATATTAAAACAAAAAATAGCATCATATCACTGATCCAAAAACAGGTGTGAGGAGTATTATAGTGCAGCAGGATGCCTACCAGGTGTTTGAGGAAGGCTCTCTCTGACATGCATCTCAACACGGTGTCTGAGTCATTTAATACTGACACCATTTCCAAGATGTCCTGGTCTCGAGCTCTCACCTCGACTGCCAGAGCACCCTTTAACAAGACCGTAAGAGCAGCATGTAAGGTTCAATGTGATGGAACAAATGCACTCAGATCAGGACTAAAGAAGCACTGAATGTTACCCACCTGTCCAACTGCATACATGCAGTCATCAGGCCCAAGGATCTGAAGCAAGATGATAACAACCGAGGTCAATATGCATTATAGAATTGCTTATCGATTAAATTATGCAATAATCTTTGTTGTATGTGCATGTTAGGTTCATTAAAGTAGGATAGAGGCACCTCGCTGATGCGATTCTCCCAGCCCATTCTCCGAAGACCAGCTGCTGCTAAAATGATGGCTGAGAAGTCATCTTTTTCATCCAGTTTCTTTAGACGAGTGTTGAGATTACCTCTCTGAAACACAACTGTTAAGGTGTAACCTCACGGAAAACATCAAGTGCTTGTTAATACACTGAAATTATAATATACTTGTTAACTGCATCTACATACAATAACAGGAAACATTTTTTTTTTAAATGCTGCACTGCACTGAAAGATACAATGTCTTTAAACTCCAGATGAGGAAATCTCTTCTTTAGTTGTGCGGCCCGCCGAAGAGAACTGGTACCTACAACACTTCAAACATAAAATATATAATTTATTACTTAAGAAAAACACATATCCTGCAACTAAAAATATAAAATGAATCATTACCATTAAAAATTTGGGGGTTGATAAGATTTTAAAAGATTTTTCAATGAAGTCTTTCATGCTTAGCAAGACTGCATTTATTAGAACAAAAATAAAACCATAGTACTATTATTACAATTTCTAATAACTGTTTTCTATAAGAATTTTAGAATGTAATTTATTCCTGTGATGCAAAGCTATATTTTCAGCAGCCATTACTCAGAAATCATTCTAATATGCTGATTTGCTGCTCAAAAATCATTCCTTATTAATATCAATGTTGATTTTTTTTGATAAACAGAAAGCTCAAAAGAACAGCATTTATTTGAAATAGAAATCTTTTGTAACATTATTAATGTTAACTATCACTTTTGATAAATTTATTAATGCATCTTTGCTGAATGAAATTATCAATTTCTTAAAAATTCTAACTTTTAAATGCTAGTGTACTTTAATATATATTTCAAATGTACTGGCCACCGCATTTACCTCTTGTTGGCTAGAGAGTCTAGACATTTTAAATGCTGCACTGCACTGAAAGATACAATGTCTTTAAACTCCAGATGAGGAAATCTCTTCTTTAGTTGTGCGGCCCGCCGAAGAGAACTGGTACCTACAACACTTCAAACATAAAATATATAATTTATTATTTAAGAAAAACACATATCCTGCAACTAAAAATATAAAATGAATCATTACCATTAAAAATTTGGGGGTTGATAAGATTTTAAAATATTTTTCAATGAAGTCTTTCATGCTTAGCAAGACTGCATTTATTAGAACAAAATTTTTTTGATAAACAGAAAGCTCAAAAGAACAGCATTTATTTGAAATAGAAATCTTTTGTAACATTATTAATGTTAACCATCACTTTTGATCAATTTATTAATGCATCTTTGCTGAATGAAATTATCAATTTCTTAAAACTTCTAACTTTTAAATGCTAGTGTACTTTAATATATATTTCAAATGTACTGGCCACCGCTTTTACCTCTTGTTGGCTAGAGAGTCTAGACATTTGCCTTTATGTTTGGGGTGCAAGACAACAGCATCATGGGGGTTTTCTCGCCTTTGAAGAGAAGGAAATATGAATCACAATGTTGACCATACCGAAAGTTACCACAGTAAACGCGGTATCGTTTGTGATCTTACTTCATTCACTCACTTTATATATCAGAAATTACAGTCAATGAATGAGCACAATGGCGGAGTATGACTTATTTCACAAACAGACTATGTCTATAATGACGCTTTTGATAGAAACAGTCCTAGACGAGATTCAGAAAGTGTTTGAATGTGAATGTCGCCCATCTCACACTGAAATTAGTAACGTTAGTGACAGAGATCCGATATTGGACATGAACGAGAAACAACGCAGACTGGTACGTTTACTTTCATTCTGCAGCTATTTTGTTGTGTTTCTGCTCCTGAAGTTTTTCCTCTGTAGTCTTTCATTTCTAGGTTAGGACACATGTTGTGTTTAATCAAGACCTTTTCTGTGTTTAACAATACGATAAGTAATTCCATTTCCTTCTTTAAATGAAATGTTGAGCTTCATCCTGCTAGTTAAAAAACTAAACATTTATGCAAAACTGAACATTTATGAAGAAGTCCGGATGAATTAATCAGTAGTTATTATCTGTTGCAGGCAAAGCTCACAGCTGTGATGGAGACCTTTACCAAGGTGGCTGTTCAAAAAATATGCAAAGTCTTCAGTTATTGCTTTGCGCTTAAGCCAACTCAGTTGCAGGGTTTTAAAAGTTACCATGATGGTGTAATAAATGTAAAAGAGTTGCTGAAGGAGCATGTGAAGAAACCAGAAAGAAAAAACAGTCAAGCTGTCAGAGATGTGCCTGGTAAGACATCCTGCATATATTTTATTGTCATATGTAAGCACATTCAATCTTCTGTAATCTTAGAAATGTCATTCTCCTCTCAGATTCTGCAACTGTAGCTCCATCAGTGTCTCTGGAGAGACCGAAACGGCTCACTGCGCTACCTGAAGAAACTGTTCAACCACAAGATTCGGTTAAAGGCCAGGAGGTGAGTTCGTTATTGAAAAGATTCAACTCTGTGTTGTTTGCTAAAATGCTTGCAGCAATGTTTCTGATTAAATTTTTTTCCTCTCAGTGTGCAAAGGAGGGTCAAGTTTCAGAATTTTGCCCTGAGTCGTCAAGTAGTGGACAAGAGAAGAACCCAGTGCAAGCATTTTTTATAGGTATGTGCTGCACAGCTTTGATATTTGTGTATACTATCTATATAAAAAGTTTATACATTGATTAAAAATGTATTTATTTGTTTGTGTATTCATTAATCAATCATTAATTTAAACTGTACATCAGTATGTTTGGCATTATTAAATAGTAAAATATTAGACTCTAGGCCCTTGGTTTCCTCCTTATGCATTTATTTGATCAGAAATACAGTAAAACAATATTATTAATGTCACACGATCTTTCAGAATCATTCTAATGTGCTGATTTGCTGCTCAAGAAACATTTCTTATCAATGTTGAAAACAGTTGTGCTGCTTAATACTTTTGAAGAAAGCATGATTAATTGTTCAGGGTTCTTTGATGAATCAAAAATGCATTTCAACAGCATTTATTTGAAATAGAAATCTTTTGTAATATTATAAATGTCTTTACTGTGACTTTTGATCAGTGTATTGTGTCCTTGCTGAATTTTCTAAATGATCATTAGGCTTTTTAAACCAGCTAGACATACTTGTAGCTTTCAATAATTGGAACCCTGTTAATGTTTTGCAGTTGAATACAATACCATCGCCTCTGTTGAGGACCAGCAAGCTGAAGTAAACACACAAGCAGAACAAGTAAGGACAAAATCTGAAAAAACCAAGAAGACAAAACCATATGACTGTAAAGAGTGCGGAAAGAAATATTTCTATAGACGCTCACTAGATCAGCACAAATGTGGACATTTAAAAGGGTCTCACAGTTGTGAGCAGTGTGGGAAGAAGTTTAAATGCTTAAAAGGATTAAGAAAACACCTACTGAATCACACAGAGAAGAAAGGGATCTGTAAAACATGTGGGAAAGCCTTCGCGAATCTTAAGATGCACGAACGTGTCCACCTGGAAGTCAAGCCGTTTCTGTGTTCCACATGTGGAAGCAGCTTCACCGTAAAGGGAAGTTTACTGGCACACCAGAGGATCCATACAGGTGAAAAACCGTACAGTTGTGAGATCTGCGGGAAGCACTTTACACACTCAAGCAACCTCGCCTGCCATCTGCTCACTCATTCCAATGACAGACCGTGGAAATGCAGCCTCTGTGACAAGACTTTCAAAACTGAAAAGAAAATGAATATGCACCAGCTCGTGCATACAGGAGAGAAACCCCATATATGTAACAAATGTGGGCAGAAGTTTGGCCACATCACAAATCTCAGAAGGCATCTCCTCGTGCACAGCGGTGTGAAACGCCACGTCTGTGAAATCTGTTCCAAGCAGTTTTATCAGAGCAAGTCTCTGAAGAGGCATATGGGAATACATGGAGCTCTGAAGTCATTTATGTGTGAAATATGTGGGAAGAGCTTTGTTTTTAACTATGCCCTCCAGAAACACTTACTCGCACATAGTGATAAAGCCAATCTGAATGGCAAATCTAAAGATGGGAAGTCTTTCCCGTGTGATGAATGCGGAAAGTGCTACAGTTCGACCGCAATGCTCAGAATACATCAGAGACTTCATACGGAAAAGGATCCGTACATGTGTAAAGTCTGTGGCAAAAGCTATAGCAGCTTGTATTCGCTGAAGGAACATGAGAAGCTTCATTCGGGGGTGACACCGTTCAAGTGTGACATCTGTGATAAGACCTTTACTCAGAAAGTTGGTTTGAAAATGCACGAGGTTGTTCATACCAAAGCTAAACCGTACAGATGTTCTGTTTGCGGAAGCCAGTTCGGGCTTCCCTACAGTCTGAGACTGCATATGCGCATTCACTCCGGCGAAAAGCCACACAAGTGTGCAACGTGCGGAATGTGCTTTCGCTTATCTGGAAACTTAAGGCGACACGAGCGGATCCACACCGGCGAGAGGCCGTTCAGCTGTGAGGTGTGTGGGAAAAAGTTTGTGCAACTCAGCCATGTGAAGGCACATATGCAAATCCACACTGGTGTCAAACCCTACACGTGCCAGAAGTGCGGGAAGAAATATGCATACCGTAGAAATTACAATGATCACAAATGTATACCCGTGTGAAAAAGATGCTGCCTTAAAGCATGCTGGGAACTAAATTGCAGTGCCATTTTCTTTGTTATATTTGCAGTTTTTTCAGATAGATGTCATGAAGGTTCTGTTGTCTTTAAGACAAAAATATTTACAATAGCACAGTGTTTATATTTGGCTTGAAAAGCTGTATTAATCAAATTTTCATTAATTCATTTAATAATTGAGCCTGGGCCAAATTATTTTTAAGCCAATTATTAATATGCAAAATCAATAGTTATACAGTGGGAATTCCTCAGTACAGTGTACTCTATGTTCAAGAATAAACAGTTTGCTGAGAATGCAGTGATTTTTCTTTTATGGTTATTTTATGTTTTATTTGTAATTTTGGTAGGAAAAACACAAAAGTCTTCACTATTCATGTGGATAAGATCTAAAGAGTAAATAGCAGATTAAACAGTTAAATGCTCAAATGGTCAAAAGTTTGACTTTTCCGATGCAGTTTGATATAGAAATTATTAAAAAGTCTATACAAAGTTCTCCAGCGTTTTGTCTTTGGCGTTAAATGACTTTTATTTTGAAAACGTTGCCTCGGAAGTGTACACGAACTGACCATGTTTTGGACGGTCGGGTCTATTTACCTAAAACAATCAATAGGAGTTTCTCAACATTTGCAATTCAAAGTAAATTTTGCATAACACCAAAACAATAAACAAGCTTATTTGACAAATTAGCCAGAAAGGGCTCTGGTTATTATAAATAATAAACTATCGTATTATCTATAATACGTTTTATTTAGTTTGTTTATCTGTTTCTAAAGGGAACATTTTTTATTCATATTAAATTAAAAATGATTAATGGTCAATGGCGCATATTCGCATACTTTTATTTTGAAATGGTTATAAACTAAAGAGGAAGTGTTTAGCGCAGAGTGCAACTTTTCTAGGGAGTTTGCATACCTGACGTATAATTACAATATAATGACTTGGCTTCATATTGAGAATTTGTTATTCACGATCTGTAATGACTATTAAGATCATGTGATTGCATGTATTCAAATTGGTTTTACTTTTTTTTTTTTAGGCGTTGGACTGCCAATGCAGAAGGTTTTTCTTCTAAATCTTGCTGAAATATTATTTTGAAATAATATTCGAGCGCAATTTCTCATTTTTGCACTGCGGTCACTATGTCCAGGTATGAGCTTTTTCAGAGTCAAACTGCCCTGTTGATCTTATTAATGCCGGACACGCCAAAGACATGCAGCTCTGTTGAAACTCATCTCAATATGAAACAAAACGACACTCGGACTCAGGTAAGAGTTTGTGTTATTAAAATTGTTTGTAACTTGAGTGGTTGCAGGTGGCTAGCTTGTATCCTGCCTCCTCAGTCATTTTAAAAAGAAGATAGATAGACAGACGTATAGATTTTTCTATTAAATTAATGACAACAATATGCTTATATTCCTTGAAAGCAAATTGGTCATACAGTATGAAGTGCTGGTATGGTATATAATATGCATTTGAAACTTTTAGTACTATTTGTCTATAACATTTCCATGTGATGTGAATTGCAGGATGCACAGGAGAGTCATGCAAACAGATGTCCTTTAGTGGAGGACAGAGCAGAAGACGACATTCAGACTGTAGTCATCGGTGATGGTAAGGTAAAGTTGTCATACTCGCATTATCATTTATGTTATTCATTTTATAAATAAGGACAGCTGCTGGTTGTTGGGTGGGGAACACTTTTTTTTCCCCATTAAGATTTTTCACCCTGCTTTTTTCACCCCCTTATTTTAGCTTTTATGTCATTTATATGCAAGTTTTTCCCTACAAGTTCACCTAATTCATGCATTTAGAATTTTTAAAACAGTCTTAAAATTTTAA